GGATCTTATTTGAAAGCAGAATACCAGGAAATGTCTATTTGTTTTATTGACTGCAAAAGCATTTGACTGTGAGATCATAACAAACTATGACTAACATTAAGATGATGGGAATTCCATACCACTTAATTGTGCTTATGTAAAGCACAACTAAATCTATACCTAGACCAAAAAGCTGTTGTCTGAACAGAACAAGGGAATACTGCTGTGGTGGTGTGTGCTGTTGAGTCACTCGAAACTCATAGAGACCCTAAGGACAACAGTTCTTAACCTTGCTCTATCTTGAGCCAACCTCATTGTCTCTGACAAATCTACCCCATTATCCCATTCTAGACTGATCACTCCTTGCAAACATACCCAAAGTATGTGAGACGGAGCTTCAAAATCCTTGCCTTACCTCCAAGAAGCAGCCTGGTTTCACCCTTTCCAGGATGAATCTGTTTGTTCTCCTAGCAGTCTATGGCATATTCAATATTCTTCTCCAATATCACAAGTCAAAGGCATCAATTCTTCTTCTATCATCCTTAGTCATTATCCAGCTTTCTGATACATAGTAAGTAATTGCAAAGACCATGGCCTGGTTCAAGTGTACCTTAGTCTCTAGACTGATATCATTGTTCTTCAGTACTGTGGAGAGGTTCCTGACAGCATATTTTCCCAATGCAATTTGTCTTTTAATTTCATGGCTAATCGTGCTAATGTGAAACCTATACTTGGACCAAGAGGCAGTAGTCAGAACAGAGCAGGGCAACACTGCATGGTTCAAAATTGGGAAGGGTGTACGCCAGGGATGTGTCCTGTCTCCATACCTTTTCAACCTGTATGCAGAACAGATTATCTGAGAGGCGGGGCTCTATGAGGTGAAGCGTGGTGTTAGGATTGGTGGACGATCTATCAACAATCTGCGTTATGCAGATGACACAACCCTGCTCCCTGAAACTGAGGAGGACCTCATGCACTTACTGCAGAGGGTCAAGGACTGCAGCCTTCAATATGGACTGAGGCTCAATGTCAAGAAGACAAAAATTCTCACCACTGGACCAACTGGCAGCATCAGGATGGATGGTGACGAGATTGAGATTGTTCACAGCTTCAGTTTGCTCAGCTCCACGGTCAACACTCTTAGCACCAGTAGCCAGGAAATCAAAAAACATATTGCGATGGGAAAGTCTGCAGTTAGGGACCTCTCTAAAGTGCTCAAGAGCAACGGTGTCTCTCTGGAGACTAAGGTGTGCCTGATACAGGCCATGGTTTTTGCATTCACTTGTTATGCATCAGAGAGTTGGGCAATGATTAGGGAGGATAGAAGGAGAATTGATGCCTTTGAGCTGTGGTGCTGGAGAAGAGTATTGAATGTACCATGGACTGCCAAGAAAACAAATAGATTCATCCTAGAGAGGGTTAAACCAGGCTGCTCCTTGGAGGCAAGGATTCTGGGGCTTCGCCTGACATACTTTGGACATGTTGTAAAGACAGGCAGGTCTTTGGAGAGGGATATCATGCTGGGCAGAGTGGAGGGACAGCGCAGGAGGGGAAGACCCTCTATGAAGTGGATTGATTCAGTGACTGGGGTACTCGGGATGGGTGTGTCAGAGGCAATGAGATTGGCACAGGATAGAGCAGGGTTTAGGGCTGTTGTACATAGGGTCGCTATGAGTCGCAAATGACTCGAGGGCACATAACAACAACAAAACAACTTGTATCATGAGTGTTGATTGTAGAGCCAAACAAGTTGAAGCTGTTAACAATCGCAATCCTTTCACTGTCTATCATGATGCTGCCAATCAACCCAGTGGTGAGAATCTTTGTTTTCTTGATGTTGAGCTTCAATCCATATTGAAGGCTGCAGACCTTGACCTTCGACAGCAAATGCCTCAGGTCCTACTCATTTTTGGCAAGCAAGGTTGCATCATCTGCATAATGCCGGTTGTTGATGAGAAACAAGGGAACACTACATGTTTTAAAATCCAGAAAGATGAGTGTCAGCGCTATGTCCTTTCTGCACACCTGTTGCTATTGAATACTATCAAGTTGGAACCAACAGATAGCTGACTATCCAATGGGTTTTCAGAGACAGTTAATTGCATGGAAAGAGATTGCCTAGACTTCTCCTATAGCTGAATAAATCATTCAAGAAGCTGGACTTTATGAAGAAGAATGTGGTAACAGGATTAGAGGAACATTTATCAATAACATTTATAATGCAGATAAAACAATTTTGCTGGTTGAAAGAGAAGAGGACTTGAAACACTTGTAGAAGATGAAAGACTACAGCCTTCAATATAGAATATATCTCAATGTAAAAAAATAAAAAAAAGGTACCCATGACTGGTCCAAAAGGCAACATTATGATGGAGAAATGATTGAAGTTGTCAATAATTTCATCTTGCTTGGGTCCACAATCAACACCATTGGTAGCAGCAGTCAAGAAAGCAGAAGACATATTTCACTTGGAAAGTCAGGGACCTCCCTGTCAGAGACCTCTCTAAAGTATTGAAGAGCAATGATGTCAGCTTAAAAACTAGGGTGTGCCTGATTTAAGCCATGGCCTTTTCAATCACTTGCTGTGCATCTAAGAGCTTCATAATGAATGACAGAAGTAAGATTGATGCCTTTGAGTTTTAGTGTTGGAGAAGAGTGCTGAGTGTTCTGTGACTGTCAAAAGAACAAATACATAGGTCTTGGAGAAAGTAAAACCAGAGTGCTTCTTGGAGGCAAAAATAGTGAAACTTCATCTCACCTACTTTTGGCAAGTTGTTAGGAGAAGCAAATCCTTGAAAAAGAATATGAGATAAGAGTGACACAGTGGTTGCAGCAATGGGACCAAGTATATCTGAAATTAAAAAGATGACACAGAATAGAACAGGGTTCAGATCTCTTGTTCATCAGGTCTCTATGAGCGGTACTTGACTCAGAGGCACTTAACAACAACATTGTTAGAGTCACTGTGCTAACTCATCTTGTTGAATGTCTTCCTCTCTTATGTTGACCATCCACCTTTTCATGCATTATCTTTTTCTAAGGATTGATCTCTCCTGAACAACATACCCAAAGTATAATTTTAGGTCAGCCCATGAGAAGAAGACCTTTGAGGAGATGAACTGAAGTAGTGATTGTAGCAATGGGAGTCTCATGTGTGTCAGAGACAGTAAAACTGACGCAGGAAAGGGCAAGGTTCAGAGTGATGGTTCAAAGGGTTGCTATGAGTCACCAGCATAAAACAACATAAAGTATGTGAGACAAAATTACAACATTCTTGCCTCAAAGGAGCACATTGGTTACACTTTCTCCAAGATAGATTTGTTTGGGTATTTTTGTTGTGGTGGTGGTTTTTAGTCCATGGGATATTCATTGTTCTTCTCCAGCCCCACAACTCAAAGATGTTAATTCTTTTTCTGTCATCCTTAGTCACTATTCAACTTTGAGATGCATAGGAAGTAATTGAGAAGATGATGACTTGCGTCCAGTGCTCCTTAGTTTTAAACTGACATCTTTTCTCTTTAGTACTTTGGAGAAGGCCTTGACAACAGGTTTTCCCAAGGTGATACATCTTCATTTCTTGGTTGTTGGTACCAAGGATGTTGATTGTGGATCCAAGTAAAATGAAATTGTTGACCATTTCAATCACTTTTCTCATCTATCATGATGTTGTTGCCTGTTGGTCCACTGGTGAGGATTTTGTTCTCTTGAAGTTGACTAGGACCCTAATCAAAGGGAACAGAAATTCAAATTCTCACAGAATCCAAACTGTTTGGATACAATAAGAGTAGATGAACTCTGGTGCCTACTGCCTTAGGATAATCTTTCAATCTTAAACCAACTGCTTCCTGACATTTTCAAATCAAAGGTAAGAAACCAAGACCTCTACCACAGAATGGATTCTGACTCTTAGAGGCCCTTTCAGACTGGTCACTCACTTGTTGTTAAGGTAGAAAGGACTCTGAGCTGATGGTTCAGCAGATTTTCAGAGGCTGTGGTTCTAAATGCCTGCCTTGGGGGTGGCAGCACAACTTCTTACCCACTAGGCTACCAGAGCTCCCTTCTCTTTCTTCTTAGAGCCTCTTCTACTGCAACTCACCAGGATTCCTACTGAGGGGGAAGAAATAACTCAGAGAGAGAGGTGGGGAATTGCAAAAGTTGCACAATTTGAAAAATATAATCAATGTCATTGAATTATACGGGTCGAAATTTCTCAGCTGGCATAGAATTTGCTATAGAAAGGGGGAGGAAATGTGGACGTGAGAAAAACGGTTTCAGGAACTGAAGTGGCTTTAACAAGAAGAGGGTGGGGAGCAGTGGGGCTAGGAGCTCCCTTCAAAGAATCTCATGGGAAAACCCAAAGTTTGTCCCTTGCCTTTATATTTAGTTAAGTAAACACTAAAGTGTTGGTAAACATTAAGTTCAGACTGTGTAATTTAAGGACTGTTTGATTTTCCTAAAGGAGTGGATTGTAGGTTTTGTCTCCTTGGCACTAAACTGTAAAACCAAAGAGTGAAAAACTTGCTGGAAACATCTATTTTACATAAACTTTATAAGAGCTGTAGCCTTCAGGCTCAGAGGGAGCAGTCTGTGCTCCCCAGAGCTTTGAAGCACTGGCGGACACAATCAGTCCCTAGGATCTCCACGTCCAGGCCAAGGGGACAAGAAAGGGGGGCAGGGAGCTGAGGACGTGAGCGCCAGAAGCTCCAGCTGTTGGTTCTGGGCTCCCCTGGGGCGCCTTGGGGGCGGGGCTGGGGGTCTGGAGTCGGGGTGCCGAGGCTCTCTGGCTGTGCGGCCGGCCGCGCACAGCATGCTGTCGTCCGCCGGGCGCCTCTGGAGCCTGGGGCTCGTCCCGAGGGCGCCTCTGGGGCGCCGGCTCCTCCCGACTCTGCAGCCCCAGGGCGGCTCCCGCAGCTCAGGCCGCGCGGCCCCTGGCGGCTCCGGGCCCGGGGATCACGGTGAGCTGGGTGGCCGCGGAGGGGCGCTGTAGCTCGACTGCGCCGCGGGTGCGGGGCTGAGACCTGATGGCGTCGTCGGTCCCTCTGCTCATCAGTGTCGTTCTCCCAGCAGGAAAGATCCACAAGGTCCCCGCCGATCACAGACCTTCAGAGTTCGACAAGAAACTCCTGCTGTGGACCGGGCGGTTCAAATCCCTGGAGGAGATCCCGCTCCGGGTCCCGTAAGTGCGATGTGGGGAGCCCCAGGTTACGCGCTGGGGCTAGTCGGATCAGGGCCTTAAGGAAGGAGCGCGGGGTCCATCCTCCGCCCATCGCCGCGCAGCCCGGGAGCAGGGGCGGCCACAGTGCACAGTGCTCCCCCTGCCTTAAGAAATTTACCCACTGCCCCCAAGTGCAGCGACTGGCCTGCACATCGGGCAGCTCAAGTTCGTGGAAGATTGTTGAAAGTGAGTGCGAACTCGCAAGCTCTCTGGGTGCTTCTCTCACCTCCCAGATATTTAGGCCCTAGAGAGCTCTGAGCTGCGTAGCGCCCGAGTGGCCGTGGGGGCGCCCCCACTGCGGAAGCAGCTCGCTGAGCTACCCGAGGACCCGGCTTCATGCAGCACTAGAGGCTTCGCTGGAAGAAGCTGCTTCCGCACCATCTCCACTATGGAGACTCCTAGCGGGCCAGGTTGGACAGCCTTTTTGACTGCTGGTTTCCTCCTGGTGGAGCCTACAGGCGCTTTCAGCATCCTTGGCCACTGCCATCCTGGACAATAGTTCCTTAAATGATAAAACTCAGGCTAACTACTTCACCTCCAAGCAAGTAAATGTAAATTGCTTAAAAACAAACAAACAACAAAACTACAATTTCTTTTTTTTTCAAAGCAGAGTTTTATTCCAAGTGTAAACAAGAACCTCCAAAACCAAAACCTTCAAACTCACTACTGTCAAATTGATTCCAACTTACAACCCTCTGTTAGGTTTCCAAACTTGTAACTATTTTTATTTAAATGTGTTTCTTATTGTTGAGTGACAGTTTACAAAGCAAATTAATTTTTCTTTCAACCACTCATACATTTTCTTCCCTAACATTCCTTTCAATACCAACAATGTAATCACACTTTTCTTATTTCTGTCCTATTAAGTTGATTTCCAGTAATCTTTTTAAAGCTTTGAGGGTTGGGTTTTTTTCCCCTTTCTTTAATTATTCCCCAACTGTGTCTTTTATATGTTTAAGGAGCTCTGGTGGCTTAGACCATGGGGAATTGCGCAGCTAACCCAAAAGCCAGGCCCCTTAGACAGCTGGAGACTCCCAGCAGCTGTGAGGGAGAAAGATCATGAGCTGTCCCTTCCCCTGCTGTTCACCACCTCAAAAGCCACTGGAAAGGCAACTGAGTTGATTCTAACTTGAAGGCAGTGAGTTTGAGAGTTTGTGAGCCATTTTATCTATTTACTAAGTTTTACTCCTCTCTGTCTTCCCCATCTAATGAGTCTTTCTAAATATAAACCTTTCAGTAACTTTGATAATAGTGGTCAATGTAGTATTCATCCTTTTGTGAGAGATGTTTTTGACTCATTATAATGTCCTCTACATGCATCCACGGTATGCAGCTCTTAAAGAATTCTTTGTTTTTTCAATACTGCGTAGCACTCTTTTGTCTGCTAATGGACATGAGTTGTTTCCATCTCTTTGCTCTTGCTGCAGTGATTATGGGTGTGCATACATCTGTTCATGTCATAGCTCTTGAGTGAGAATGCTAGATCAAATGGTGTTTGTTTCTGATTTTCTAGGGAAATATTGAGGCTGTAATCTTAATGGAAGGAGACTACCCACTTTTCCCACTTGGTGGATTGGAACCTTGAGTTAGTAGTATAACACTCTGTGGACTACACCACCAGAGCACCTTTTAAAAAACAATACAAAACTAAGATCAAGTAAGATTTTCAGAAGTTCCCTATGCTTTATTTGCACAATGTAATCAATTAGTCTTTAGAAAGGATGATGGGAACTGCCTACATCTTATTTCAGCACCTATGGCCTGTCGTCTTTTTGATTGCTAGTTTAGCAATGACCAAAAGCATCTCAAGCAAATGGCAAAGAACGTAAGGTGGGAAATGTTCACTCAGTAAAGAATTCTTAAGTGTTTTTGTTATTTTCTTTGATCAGATTAATTAATGAGGACTGGTTTATAACATAGAATATAAACTTTTAACATTTAACCACCGTTTTAAAAATTATAAATAAAACTTTTTTTTATTTCCTTGAGATCTACAGTTTCCATAAATTTAAAGCATTAATATATACACTTAAAGGAGTCTTATTGGCAAAGTTTTAAGTGCAAGGCTGCTAACTCAAAGGTCGGTAATTGTAATCTGTCAGCCACTTGACAGGAGCAAGATGTGGTATTCTACGTCCCTGAAGATTGCAAAGGGAGCTCTGTGGTGTAGTCCCTACAAAGGTGGCACCTCTCTGGCAGCTCCAGTTCACCAGCAATTCTGTGAGAAAAAGATGGGCAATCTCTGCCTAAGTGATTTACAGCCTCCTGAAACCCCACTGAGTCTGTTTTGACTTTATGGTAATGCGTTTTTGGAGAAAGAATACAGTCTTGGAAACCCTATGGACTAATGCACTCCAGTGTAGTTTATAATTCACCTAGTGAATTGGTTGCTTCCAGTTTTTGGAAAGTATGAATAAACAGAGCTAGCTTCTTAAGTAAGACATTACCTCAAAAAAATCTTTATCATCACAAAGTCTGGCTGTCACTATTTAATAGATGCCTAATAATTAAGTACTTTAAAACACCACCCTCAGGGTTGGATTTTTTAAAAATTTTGACTTCTAGTACTGTAACAGTAATTAAAAATGTAAAGAGTCAGCATTATTTAAATTCATGCTTATGGAAAGACAATATACCTAGTTTAGCATTAATTTAGCTAGGTATACAAGAGAAAGACATTTTACAGAAATAATTTCATTTTCCTAGGACACAGTAAAAATTATAAACCATTAAGAGCATTTAACCACGAATAATAGGCTTTCAAAAGTATGTAGGTTAGGATTAAAAACATAGAAGTATCTATTTTTATTTTAAAATTTTCAATAATATTCTTATAAACATTGCTGTGGAGCAGGTTTATTTCCACGAATCATATTTACAAATAGTAGAATCATACCAGTCAGAGGGCCGTATGACTTGAATATAATTAACACAATATACATCTTTGTTTAGGCCGGAAATGATAGGTGCTGCAAGAAACAAAGCTCGAGTGAAAGTTTGCTACATAATGATTGGACTCACAATTATTGCCTGCTTTGCTATGATTGCATCGGGCAAAAGGGTGAGTACCTTTCCTGAAAATACAAACTTGTGAATTATTGTATTAGGAGGCTTTACTGTCAATTTGAAGAGTATTACTGCCTTTTCAGGAGGAAGAATGGGCAATCTTTTCCCATTAGGAGAGGATTTATCCAGAGGGTAAAGATTAATACTGCCTTTTCAGGAAAAAGAAAAAACCAAAATGGATGTCAGAAGAGATTCTAGAAATTGCACTCAGACTTGAGAAGCCAAAACAAAGGGGAAACATGCTGAAATAAAAATGCTGAACTGCAGATTTCAAAGGGCAGCTCAAGAGGACCAAGCACAGTATTATAATGGAATGTGCAGAGAGCTGGAACTGGAGGATATAAAGGGAAGAACTCTCTTGACATTTCTCAAGCTGAAAAAACGGAAAAATTTTTTAAAAACCCCAAATTTTGAAAAAACAGATTTAAGCCTCATGCCACAATATTGAAAGATGCTATGGGCAATATATTGAATGACCTGGAAAGCATCAAAATAAGATAAAAGTACAGAATCACTCTAAGAAAAAGCAGTGATTGACAACGACATATATCAGGAAGTACCATATGAGCAGGAGCCAGTGGTAATTAAGGAGGAAGTGGCAGCTGCATTTGAAGGCATGGCAAAAAATGAGGCCCCAATTAATACCAATTGACTTGTTTCAATTAACAGATGCAGCCCTGGATGTGCTCATCAGTTAATGCCAGGAAATTTGGAGGTCAGATGTCTGGCCAACAGATTGGAAGAGGTCCATATTTGTCTCCTTTCCCAAGAAAGGTGATCCAACTGAATGTGCAAACTATTCAACACTATCATTAATATCACATGCAAGCAAAATTCTACTGATGATTCAAAAATGGCTAGAACAGTACATAGAGAACTGCCAGAAGTTCAAGCAGGGTTTAGAAGAGGCCACAGAACCAGGGATATAATTGCTGGTGTCAGATGGATCCTGGCTGAAAGTGAAGAATACCAGAAGACTGTCTATTTGTGTTTTATTAACTATGCAAAGGCATTTGACTGTGTGGATCATAACAAGTTGTAGCTGACATTTAGAAGAATGGGAATCCCAGAACACTTAATTTTGCTCATGTGAACAGTAGGCTGTAGTGTGAACCAAATAGAGGAACACTGCATAGTTTCAAATTAAGAAGGGAGCACACCAAGGTTGTATTCTCTCTCCATACCTATTCAATCTGTGTGCTGAGCAAATTATTGGAGAAGCTGGGCTCTGTGAAGAGGAATGTGGCATCAAGATTGAAGGCAGATTACAAGTGAGGACTTGAAGCACTTATTGCAGAAGATCAAGGAATGCAATCTTCAGTATGGATTGCATCTCAATGTCAAGAAGACATACTTACCACTGGACTGATAGGTAATATCATGATGGGATGGAGAAGAGATTGAAACTGTCAACAGCTTCATCTTACTTCAGTCAGCAATTAACACCCGAGATTGAAACTGTTAACAGCTTCATCTTACTTGGATCCACAATTAACACCCTTGGTATCAGCAGTCAGGAAATAGACATATTTCACTGGAAAAGTCTGCAGTAAGGGACCTCTCTAAATTATTGAGGAGTATTGGTATCTGTTTGAGGACGAAGATGAGTCTGATTCAGGATATGGTCTATCACTTGCTATGCATCTGAGAGCTGGGCAATTAATAAGGATGGCAGAAGAATTGACACCTTTGAGCTGCGATGTTGGAGAAGAGCACTGAACATCCCCTGGATGACCAAATAAACAAACACGTCATAGAAAGGATGCAGCCAAAATGCTCTTTGGAGGCGTAATGGGACTTTGCCTCACATACTTTGGGCTTGTTGCTATTCCTTGCACATTGCACAGGGACATGATTCTTGGAAGGGTCAGCAAAGGAGAGGATGACCCTTGACCAGTTAGATTAATGCAATGAATGCTGCTATGGGCTTTAGTGTGTCAGGAAGCATGAAGATGGTGCAGGATAGGACAGGGCTCAGATTTGTTGTTCATAGGGTCACTCTGAGTCATATATACTTGACTCGACAGCACCTAACAACTGCCCTTTCAAAGTAAGTTGGCTTTTCTCCTTCCTTTTCGTCTATCTTATTTAAACTATCCATTCTTTCCACGGAGTCACGATGGTGTTTTTTTTTGTTTGTTTGTTTTTCCAGGCTGCCCAGCGACGTGAATCCTTAACAAGTTGGAACTTGGCAAAAAAAGCTAAGTGGCGTGAGGAAGCTGCGCTGGCTGCACAGGCTAAAGCTAAATAATCCTTTAAGAGACGGTGCACACTTGGATATTATCACCATCACTGGCAACAAGAAAAGAGTCGCATATTTACTATATCTGCCATGGATTTGCTTCAAGACAAAAAGCACACAGCCATTTTTTAAGTAAACATTTTACTAAAGCATAATGTGCATTCCAAAAAGCTCAGTGTCTGCAGACTGTGTGATGCACTTTAAAAAGTGAATTCACCTGCTTAGCTGTGTTCAGGGTGAGTTGCAAGGCAGCAACAGGACCTCTAAAGCTTCCTTTCCACTCTTTCAGTCATTTCATTACTCACTGCTCTGCTTTCTATTGTTGTTGTTGTTATGTGATGTCAAGTCATTTGCGACTCATAGTGACCCTATGTACAACAGCCCTAAACCCTGCTCTATCCTGTGCCAATCTCATTACCTCTGACACACCCATCCCGATTACCCCAGTCACTGAATCAATCCACCTCATAGAGGGTCTTCCCCTCCTGCGCTGTCCCTCCACTCTACCCAGCATGATGTCCCTCTCTAAAGACCTGTCTCTCCTTACAACATGTCCAAAGTATGTCAGACGAAGCCCCAGAATCCTTACCTCCAAGGAGCAGCCTGGTTTAACCCTCTCTAGGATCAATCTATTTGTTTTCTTTGCAGTCCATGGTACATTCAGTACTCTTCTCCAGCACCACAGCTCAAAGGCGTCAATTCTCCTTCTATCTTCCCTAATCATTGTCCAACTCTCTGATGCATAAGTGATTGCAAAATCCATGGCCTGTATAAGGCGCACCTTAGTCTCCAGAGAGACACCGTTGCTCTTGAGTACTTTAGAGAGGTCCCTAACTGCAGACTTTCCCGTTGCAATGTGCCTTTTAATTTCCTGGCTGCTGGTGCCAAGAGTGTTGACTGTGGAGCTGAGCAAACTGAAGCTGTGAACAATCTCAATCTCTTCACCATCCATCCTGATGCTACCGATCGGTCCAGTGGTGAGAATCTTTGTCTTCTTAACATCGAGCCTCAGTCCATATTGAAGGCTGCGGTCCTTGACCCTCTGCAGTAAATGCATGAGGTCCTCCTCCGTTTCAGCAAGCAGGGTTGTGTCATCTGTGTAACGCAGATTGTTGATAGATCGTCCACCAATCCTAATGCCACGCTTCTCCTCATAGAGCCCAGTCTCTCGGATAATCTGCTCTGCATACAGGTTGAAAAGGTATGGAGACAGGACACATCTCTGACGTACACCCTTCCCAATTTTTAACCATGCAGTGTTACCCTGCTCTGTTCTGACTACTGCCTCTTGGTCCAAGTATAAGTTTCGCATTAGCACGATTAAATGTTCTGGGATTCCCATTCTTCTCAGAGTCAGCCACGGTTTGTTATGATCCATGCAGTCAAATGCCTTTGCATAATCAATGAAACACAGATAGACATTCTTCTGGTATTCTCGGCTTTCAGCTAAGATCCATCTGACATCAGCTACAATATCCCTAGTACCACGACTCCTTCTAAACCCAGCCTGGACTTCTGGCAGTTCTCTGCTGATGTACTGTTCCAGTCGTTTTTGGATAATCTTCAGTAGAATCTTGCTTGCATGTGAAATCAATGATATTGTTCTGTAGTTTCCACACTCAGTTGGGTCACCCTTCTTTGGGATGGGAACAAATATAGACCTCTTCCAGTCAGTTGGCCAAGTGGTTGTTCTCCAGATTTCTTGGCACAACTTGGTGAGCACATCCACGGCAGCATCTGTTAGCTGAAATATGTCAATTGGTATACCATCTATTCCAGGGGCCTTATTTTTTTGCTATTTCCTTCAAAGCAGCTTGAACTTCTGCCTCCATCACCACAGGCTCTGGCTCAAATGCTATTTCATTAAATTCTTCTGTATCTGCCAATTCCTTTCGATGCAATAACTCAGTATATTCCTTCCATCTTCTTTTGATACCTCCTGGATCATTGAACATTCTGCCTAAGGCATCCTTCATTGTCCCGACTAATTTTGCCTTCATTTTCACTTTATATGAATGGCATCTATTTGCAGAGCTCTGGTGGCTTAGTGGTAAGGAATTATCCTCCCAACCCAAAGATGTGTAGTTCAAATTCACCAGCTACTACTCTGGGAAAAGCTGGGCAACCTCCTGAGATTTACTGCCTCTAAAAATCAACTGAGAATCAGCTATGGTTTCAGTCTGACAGTTCTCAACATGAACTCAGTGGATGCACTTAAATGTGTATTTTGCTTAGTATTATGTTTGTTAGATACACCCATAAATTCATCTTTATTTTCATACTATATTCTTTTATGGCCATGTTGAATGGATATTTGGTTCTGCTTTGGCCACTACTCACCCCATACTAAAATGAGCACATTTCTTTCACATGCTATTGAAATGAAGTTGAACTAAATTACTATGGGTTCTTAGGATGTGAAACTTATTTTCAACAAAGTTCTATTATACTGTCCCTCTTGGTATTTTTTCCATGGCTTCGAGCCAGGAGTAGTAGATTTAAAAATTCTTACTTCAACTATTAATTATAACTGATAATATACCAAGAGTAATTTTAAAGCAATTAATAAAAACACTTGGAAAGACAAAAGTGGTTATGAATTATCAGTATTTAAACTTGTTAAATGTGAACACAATTTTTTTTACATACAGCCTCACAATGTTAACATCTGTCTTAGTTTCTTAAGGCTGCCATAGCAAAAAACACCACAAAGTGGGTGGTCTTCTGGCGCACGAATTTATTTTCTCACAGCTCCGGAGCTTAGACATCTTCGATTCTGGCTGTCATCAGAACAAATGCCCTTTCTCTGTTGACCCCAAGGAAAAAACTGTCCTTTTTTGTTTCTGCCTCAGGTGTTTCTTGACTTGTAGGTAGATCCTCACTGGCTTCTATGTTCCTATTTCCTTATCAGTTTTTTGTTACACTCAGAAGAGATTAGGAATAAGAGCCATCCAACTCATCCTTAACCGAAAACATCTATTAAGAAAAGCTCTTATTTCATATTTGGTTGCACAAGTCTTAGGACTTCAATTTATCTTCTCTGAAGACACAAGTTTACCTGTAACAGTGTTTGTGATTTCATAAAAAGTTTAAAGGATACAATTTTCAGTGTACTATGAATTAACTTACTTTATTCTTGCTCAGAATATACACCAATTCGTTTCTACATGTCCAATTCAGTGACACTGATTATATTCATCTTGTGGAGCCATCGTTAGCCTCCTTTTGAGTTGTTCTTCCTCATGAACATAAACTCATTACCTTTCTATTTTGTCTTTGATGTTTTCAATTGATCCCACAGAGATCTTACAAGAACACAATGTTCAAGGCAGATATTCTTTGCTAGTTAAACTGTTTGGTTTTAAAAAGACTTTACAAGATGATTTTTACTTTATATTTAAGCAATTTGGGGGTTCGGTCTCCATGTCTTTGGCAAGTCTGTAGTTCATGAAAAAAGTGAAAGTCTGTTTTGAATTTTACCCTCTTTTGTTCAAAATTCTACATAACAGTTACTAGGGAGCTCTGCTGGCCTCATGGCAAGAAGCTGTGCTGCAATCCCGAAGGTGTGCAGTTCGAATCCCTCAGATGCTCTGCTGGAGAAGGAGGGACGATCTCCTCCTGTGCCAGTCAGTCAGATCCAGATCCGACTCAAGGGTAGACAACAAAGTTACTAAAAACATTAACGAAAAATGAAACATAATTTCTTCAAAAGTAAAGCCCACAAGTTTGAAATATTCCATTTTCAAAGAATAGGCAGGACCTTGTGGGCATTCTTACTTACCATTCCCAATTTCAAATGTCTGGGTACTGACTGCTATGCATTTCACATTTCCTTGGTGGGGCTGTGTCCACTCATTGTTTGGGTTCTGGCAGTGCTGTACAGTAATGCTTAACAGTGCAATTATTTGAAAAGTTTATTTCACTGTATAGTGGAATAGAAAACTGAAATGCCAAAGTGCTGTTAGTAGTGATCAGAAGTATTTAACTCTTAAGTTCCTGAGGCAAATAAAAATTAGATTTGCTTAACGTGACAAAATACAGAGTCACTCTACCAAAAAGAATTGACTAACAAACATTTCAGGAAAAAGCACATGATTAAGAACCGATGGTATAAAGGAAACTCAAATTGTACTCAAGGCACTGGAAAAAAAATCAGACCCAAGAAACTGATGGGATTATCAACTGACACATTTCAACAGATGCAGTCCTGGGCATACTCATTAATTAGCCTATCCCAAGAAATTTGGAAGATAGCTACCTGGCTAATTGCCTGGAAAAGATACAACAGAATGTGGAAATTATCTTAAAAAAATCATTAGCAACACATTCAAATAAATTCTTGTTGAAGATTATTAAAAAAATTAAAAAGTAGCCGGAGGAAAAAAAAAGAAGCTGGAACAATAACAAGGAACTGCCAGAAATTCAAACTAGATTAGGACGATGCTTGGGAGTGAGGGATATCATTGCTGATGTAAAATGTATCTTGAATAAAAGAAAGTACTATCAGAAAGATGATTATATGTGTTTTACTGACTATGCTAAGTTTGTATGACTCCCTATTAGGTATAAACAATCACAGTGAGAATGGATGAAATAAGAATATAAATGCATTTGTAAAATATTATTTTATTATTTTTAATATAGTGCCATAACATTTCATAATATTGCATACTGTTCAATGTTACACTGCTCAAATGTTATAGTTTAGTTAGTGAGGCAAGAATACCCTCTCCTTATTCTACTCCCAATTCAGAATTTAAAGATGCATTATCTCTTAAGGTCCCTATTATACAGATTTATAATGTCACATTACACGGAACACTGAAATTATAAACTGAAGAAAAATTAACAATTATTTGTATTTCAGTTTCACAAATAAGCCACTGAATAAGGTTGCTGAATTTAGAATAGCAACAAAAATTCATGACTTTGTTCTATCATTTACTTTTTCCATAATGCTCTTCTTCATAAAATGAAGAAAAGAAAAGGCAAAGGTAATGCATCTTTTA